CCCCAAAACCCCAAAACCCCAAAACCCCTAGTATTAATCAAGTAAGAAATTGCATTTAGGAAAATTTTAAGTTAGTAAGTTATTATTATATTTAAATGGCAGATCGTCTAGCTAAAATATTCGGTACTGAGGAGGACAAGTAAGCTTAATAAAATCCTTCATCATTTCTAAACAAATTAATTTAGAGTTAACTGTCCTTTTTATTTCAAGATCGGTGCTTGCCGACATGGAGATACCTGTACTAGAATTCACAACAAACCACCTCTCTCCTAGACTATTGCTTTACCTCATTTATATGAGAATCCACCAGCTGCAGTAGCCTTTGCAGATGGACTTAATGTACCTCAAGAGGCATTAGTCGAAGCAGTGAACCACTTTGAGGACTTTTTTGAGGAAGTTTTTATGGAACTGGCTAAATTTGGAGAGCTTGAAGAGGTTGTTGTTGCTGATAACATAGGAGACCATATGATAGGCAATGTCTATGCTAAGTTTGTGACTGAGGATTAGGCAAATGGCGCATATAATGGTCTTAATGGCAGATTTTATGCAGGCAGAGTCATTCTTGCAGAATTCTCCCCTGTGACTGATTTCAGAGAATCTAAGTGTAGACAGTACAACGAGGGCTAATGTGACAGTAAGTTTAGCTATTTTTAATCAAATTGAATATAACACCATATTTAGGAGGAGGATATTGCAATTTCATGCATCCTAAGCATGTTAGCAGAGATCTAAAGAGACAGTTGTTCAAGCAAATGTATGACGAGCACCCTGAGTACAGGGAAGATAGAAGAGAGTAATAATAATTGAAGGTAATGGATTTATAGTTTAATTTAGACGAAAAAAGAATGATCCAGTAAAGGATAGAAGTAGGTCTAGGTCCAAAGGAGGTAGGGATGATGACAGAAGTAGAAAGCACAAGTCTAATAGATCTAATTCAAGGTCTGATTCAAGGCATAAAAGTCACAAAAAGCACAGAAGTGACAGAAGTAGAGAGAAGAGAAGGTCAAGTAGAGATAGAGTTGATAGAAATGATAGAGGTGGTAACAGAGATAATGATAGAGGTGGTAACAGAGACAATGATAGAGGTGGCAACAGAGATAGTGATAGAGGTGGCAACAGAGACAGAGATAGAGGTCATAGAGATGAAAGAGATAGAACTCACAGAGATGATAGAGATAGAGAAAGAGATAGAGGGGCTGATAGAGATAGAACAGACAGAGAAAGAGACGGTGGTCGAAGAGACCACAAAGAATCATCTAGAAGTCATACCTCTGTAAGGAGACCACATTCAAGAGAAAAAAGCCCAGAGGACCTAGGCAAGAAAGTCATGAGGCAAACATCTGAAGAAAGAAGGGCTATGTTTGCTCAATGGAATGAAGATGATGAGAAGCAATAATAGAATGGCTCAAGAGTAATATAAATTTGATATAATAATAATCTTTAGTGAGGAAAAAGAGAAGAATCAAGCGAAAATGAAAGATTCCATAATTGATATGTTCAAATCTAAAAATTGTTACCTTAATATGTATTCTTATGTTCATTTGATCTATCATGTAGAAACCACTCTTACGGGGTTTTGGGGTTTTGGGGTTTTGGGGTTTTGGGG